AAAAAAAAAAAAAAAAAAAAAAAAAATTAAAAAGCAAAAAAGAAGAAATTTGTTGGATAAAAATGAACAAGTAGCTCTTTTAGTTGTTCATGAGTGATTTTCACAAGTAATTAATTATACATTCAACCAAGTTAGCTTGGCTTTAGAAAAAAAAAAAAAAAAAGTTGCAGCAATCACTATGCTCGGCAGAAAATGCCATCCCGGTTTATATAATAGTTATAATGCTGTTAAAACACAGCTGACTGTAACTGTTTGCCGCTGATTGGTTGCAGTATCCGCTGGATGGGTGGAGTTTAACTGGCAGAAAATTAGTTGACTGCGAGCCGTAACGACGAGGCCAAAAAAAAGGGGTGGGGACTGGCATCCTTCTTCTTTCCATTCTCTTCTTTTTTTTTTGTGATCCCAAAACTGTGTGTATTATTGATTTGTATGTAGTGAAAAAGAGTAAAAATTGTTCACAAAATATCAGTTGAACAATGTTGAAACAGAGAAAACAACAGTCAACCAAATTGTTTAGTTATATTTACAAAAAAAGAGAAAATTTTTTTCGCATCGTGGCTGAGCCGTTCGGCGCGGCGGTTAGTAAGTTAAAACCACTTCGGTGGGTTTGTTTGCTGAAGAGACTTTTCTTCAGTTACAGTATTCCTCCTAGGCTCTCCCCTTCCCCTTTTCTTCCCCCTCCCCGCTACCCCGCTCTCTTCTATCCTTTAAAGTTCCCTCTTTTGCTCCTTCCTATCAGTACGGGTTATTATTTGTATATGTATATGTATTTTTTTCGTATATTACTAAGGTACACTGTTAATACTGTGTGTAAAATAATTAATAGATATCAAAGAAAAAAAAAAAAAGGAAGAGGAAAAAAACAATTTGAAAAGTTTATTGTTATACTGATGCGTTTTGTTTTTGTGTTTTCAAACAACCGATCAAGCAACCTACCAAGCAGCTAAGCTCAAGCAAACAGCCAAGCAAACATTTCTTCTCCATCGGCAACACTATCACCAATAATATTACTTTTGAATACTTCTGAAAAAAAAAAAACGTCTTTTGATGTTCATAAAAATTTAATTTTTTTCTTGTTATCTTTGATGTGGTATTGTTTTACTAGAAATTTCTCTAATTTACTTTTTTTAAATTATTTCTTTTTTGCATATTTCACTCGTCTCTTCTGTTTTTTTTTTTTTTCTTGATCTCTTTTACCTTTTAAATAATAAAATTACTATGTTCAGGCATTTTTTACCTTAAAAAAAAACGTTCCTTTTGAGCTCATTTGTATAAGGCATGGAATTTCGTAGCGATCATCTGGTATAATCACTTGAATTCAAGCCGATTTTACTAGCTTTGTTCATTCTTTTTCGACACCTTTTTAGCGCATTAACTCATCATCTTTCAAGAATCCCCACTTTTGAAGTCTTTAGTGGATAGAAAACGATCAACGATATTGTTTGCTCAGTTTTAATTTACGGCAGTCTTTTAAAAAACAATAATAATAAAAATAATAGAAAACAAAAAAAATCTAATAATAACAGCAATAATAACGGACAATAATACTACTACTAATGATATTAAGTTTACTGCTTACAATCGATTTACGACATGAGCGGTTTTTCCATTTCACGATAGTATTATATTAAACTAATTTAGTTCAATCTGGTTAACTGTTTGTTTAAACATCTTCTAAAATGCTTTAAGAAGTATTTGGGTAACCAACCACACATACAATTACAATACATAGGTACATCGATATTTGATGAAAGCATTTTGTACGGAACGACGACGTTTTGTTCGCTCTTTCTCT